CACAACAGCACATCATATATCTGTTTGGACCTCATGTTGCACTGTGACTTTAAGATTACATAACCTGCAGAATGGAATGCCCCATCCCACTGGGCACCTCACAAGGGAGGAATAGGGGTGGGGTCATAAAGTCAGAGAGCAGACTTGAAGCAAGACAACTTGGGTCTGATTCCTGGCTCTGTAGTATCAGAGCTCTGTGACCTTACACTTAACTTCTCTGGGCCTCAGTTTTCTCATTGATAAAATGGAGATGGGCTTGCTGTTAGGAATAAATAAGAGAATGCCCATAAAGGGCCTGGTGTGTAGAAAAAGTTGGACTCTCATCATGATGTGGAGAGCAAGGAGCCTGAGTGTTAATGCTCCACCCAACCCAAGCTGCCCAGATTCACTTACAGGTATTCACGCTTGCCCAACTTCCCAGTGGCCCCAAGGACTCCTGCTTCCTAAAGCACCACTTAAGTTCTTTAGGAAGTGAGCTCTTGGCTTCCATGAGAGCCTTCACCTGCACTCCTAACATTCCCCAGGCCTGACCTTTCTAACTCCTTTCTAGCCATTGGCACAGCATATGCAGTACTTAGCAACCCTGAGAAGAGGAAACAGTATGACCAGTTTGGTGATGACAAGAGCCAGGCAGCCCGTCACGGCCATGGGCATGGAGACTTCCACCGTGGCTTTGAGGCTGACATCTCCCCTGAAGACCTCTTCAACATGTTCTTTGGTGGTGGCTTTCCGTCAAGTAAGTCCCCACCCCCACACAGCCAGGTCTCCCCAGAGGTGGGAGACTGGATGCCAGCCTCTCCCTTTCCCAGCAGCCCCACTCCTGACTCAGTCCCTCTGACCCCCAGGTAACGTCCACGTCTACAGCAACGGCCGTATGCGTTATACCTACCAGCAAAGGCAGGACCGCAGGGAGAACCAGGGTGACGTGAGTGAGGAAGGCACTGGGGAGACCCGGGGCGGGGGGCTAGTGACATGCCCAGCAGTGACATGCCCAGCTGTCTGTTCTGGGATGGTAGTATTCCCACAACTCGCAGCCAAGGAGCCATCTTGGGCCTCCCTTGCCATTCTGCTGTTTGACACCAGAGGGAGCCTCACTCCACATTGCCCACTGGAAGGAGTGGGGATTTGATGGCTTCTTCTAGAGAATGTAATGCAGAATGTTTTCCACCTATAGGCAGGTTGGAGTGTGAACAGTCTTTGTGCAGTTCATTTACTCATAAAGCCAAAGTAACATTTCCGAGCAGTGGAAAGTTTCATGAGAGAATTGTAAAAGATAACAACATAGGTGCTGACTCTTCTTTTCAATACTCAAAAAATGTATGCAAAAGCTATAACAAGACAGTGCTTCAAACACATTTCGAACGCCACAAGAACAGCTAGCTGAGTAAAATTAAAATACTGTGGACAACTGTGGAGTATTTAAAATATGGCAGGCAGAAGGATTCCCTTTTGCTCTGACAATGTGGCCTTATGCTTTGATTACTTTTTAAACTTATATTTCGCATATCTTTAATACAGAGAAGAATTTTTAAATCGCAGATTATCATACAGTGAAAAAATTTATATTTATAATTTTTTAACTGGTAATTTTTTAATCTTTTAAAATTCAAAAGGTAATGTAGCGAAAATCTCCCTCCAGCTCTGCCCCCGCTTTTCCTGGAGGCAGCTACTTTTGCTCATTTTTTTGGTAGTCTCTCAAAAGTCAATGCATATACCCACTTTCCTCCTGTATTTGACACCAGTTGCTGTTTTGTTATTATCTGGGGAAGCTGGCAAGTAGAGGGGCATCTGTATTTTGGGGACCTATGAGAGGGAAAGGAAGAAGGTATCGTCATGCCCTGCTTGCATGGAAACTGCCTCCCACCACCCGGGCGTCACTGTGCTGGGGGAGCTGGTGGTGATTGCGGCTGACGACACACTTCCACCCAGTTCTGGCTTGGGTGACCACTGGCTCTTCCTTCCAGGGCGGGCTGGGGGTATTTGTCCAACTGATGCCCATCCTCATCCTGATCCTCGTGTCAGCTCTCAGCCAGCTCATGGTCTCCAGTCCACCCTACAGTCTGAGCCCGAGGCCGTGAGTACCTGTAGCTGGGGGTGAGGCTGGGATGTTGGGCAGATTGAGACTATGTCTCAGCGGCCATCTGGGGCTTTCCTTTCCATCCTGTAAGTTTTTGATCACAATGCAGAAAGCTGGCTTAGAATCAAGAAAATATACTTTCCCGGTTGAGCAGAGGTTCTTGATTTTTTTTTTTTACTTTATTTTTTTATATTTATTTTTTTTCAGGTAAGGGGAATTTTCGTTATATCCTCTAATAGCTTTTTATTTATTTATTTATTTATTTTTCTTATGATGACATTGGTTAACAAAATCCAGTAAGTTTCAGGTGTATAATTCAACAGTAAGGCATATATATATATATTGCATTGTGTAAGCAGAGGTTCTTCATCTTTTTATGATCACAGTCCTCTAAGAAAACTTAATGAAAACTTCAGATCTTTTCCCTGAAACACTGCACACACACATACAATTTTGCATGTGATTTCACGTGCTTCATGACCAACCACCCCATATTGTCTGCTGACCTTGAGATAAGAACCTATGCTCTTATGCTCAGGGTAGGGGCTCTAGGGCCATGGAAAGAGCAAGGGCTCTAGAGTCAGACAGCAAAATTGGCTTTCAATCCTAGCTCCTCTGCTAACTAAGCAGCTGTGTGACCTTGGACATGTTACATAACTTCTCTGAGCTTTGGTTTCCTCATCTATAAAATGGGAACATCTACCTGCTTGTGAAAATTAAATGAATGATACACATAAAATTCCAGGCTCATTAGAAATGCTCAACAATATTTGTTGAAAGAATATGTCATCTCAACTGCCAATAATGAATTTGAGCAAGTTATTTGGTGTTTTAAGGTGTCAGCTCCCCTAATTTATTTCTAGCACTTGACCTAGTAGGTGCTCAGCTTCTATTGATGGAAGCCCTCTGCTCCCATCAAGCAGCCTGGCTCTAGCGGGGATCCTGGCAGCATCCCTCTCAGCCAGCAGGGGGCAGAGTCGGTCCACTGGGCCCACACCAGCCAGCGCAGGCTCTCTGTGGCCTAATGCCAGCCCTTTTCTTTGCAGCTGGAGAAACGAGAAGCCCATTGGGCAGGCAGGGGCTGTCCTCCCTGGAGCACTGGCTCCTGTCTGCATGTTGAGGCTCTTTCCACAGCCTGTGAGCCTACTTTTGGAGCTGGAATATAGAATCCAAGAGCTGGAAAGATACAACTCCTGGGAAGTTGAAGGCAGGCAGGCCTTCAACAAGGATTGGCTTAGGGGATGAATGAGGAAACAGGCACAGGGAACTCAAGTCACACAGCTTGTCAGAAATGGAGCCCAGACTCATGCCAGGTTCCCTACTACCCTGACCAGGGTCTCTCAGAAAGGGGCTTCTCCCCAAAGTTCCCCAAGTCAACAGTGTAGTGAGCAGGGAGCCTGAAGAAGAGCTTGCCCTAGGCTGGGTCACTCATGGGAGGAACATCCTGCCTTTTCTTCAGACCCTCATTTTGGTTAGGTGCAAGTTCCTGTTTTAGTTTGGGAGGTAAGCAACCACTGTGGCCTGCGTGGCACCTTCTGTCAGGAGCCTCATCTCCGTAGAGCTTCCCTGGGCCTGGGACCAGTGCCCACTTTGTGCCTGGTATATTTCTGGTCAGGTCGGTGGGTCACATCCACAAGCGAGTCACCGATCACCTGAACGTCATCTACTACGTGGCAGACACCTTCTCTGAGGAGTACACAGGTTCTAGCCTGAAAACAGTTGAACGGAACGTGGAAGATGATTATATCGCCAACCTCCGAAACAACTGCTGGAAGGAAAAGCAGCAAAGTGAGTGTGTGTGTGTTGGGGGCACAGAGCTTGAGAGCGCAGAAGGGGAAAACCCTGCTCCCTCCGTGATTTGTGGGCCCAGCACCTGCCACTGCCCTGCACCAGCCACCTCCAAGCTGGGCTCTACTCCTGTGTTTCCCTGGGGCCAGAGCCAGGGGACACCTGGAGATTTCCTCTCAGTTCCCGTAAATCACTGCAATCAGCCTGTTTGGCTGCAGGTAAGTACATAGAGATTTGAGCAGATCTCCTGGTCACCCACTGACTGGACATCTGGCTCTATCGATAGCACCCTGAGGAGGTCTGACCAGGATGACAGGTTCTTACCTTGGCTGGCCTCACCCATACTCTATAGAAAGGGCCTCTGTCCCCCCTCCCAAGTTGGAATCACAGTCTTTGCTCCTTCGGAGTCCTCCCCTGCTCCTGAGCCTGTAACAGCCTTCCTCCTGGCCCTGCAGGCCAGGCAGGCACCCTAGCAGCCTTCAGTAGGTACTGAGTGTGTCCTAATCCTGCCCCATTACTTTGCAGAGGAAGGCTTGCTATACCGGGCCCGCTACTTCGGCGACACAGATATGTACCACAAAGCACAGAAGATGGGCACCCCCAGCTGTAACCGACTGTCAGAGGTGCAGGCCTCCCTGCATGGATAGTCCTGGGCCAGCTACGCTACCGAGGTCCAAGTATGAGCCAGGGCCTCCTCTGCCCTGCAACTCCTGGCAGCTCTGGCCCTGGTCATGAGACAGAGGAGGGTGGGAGGGAGGGAGCCTGGTCATGATGGCACGGACTCCTTGTCCCCAGCCCGACCTCCAGCCTGTAGGGTTGGGGCAGCTCTAGGGCGTACTGGGAAACTGAGGTGGGCTTCAGGCCTCTACTCTTCACCCCACACCCACCCTGTTCCCTGGCTCTGGGGCTATGGGGTACCCAAGAACCAGGCAGAGGGGGAGCCCAAGAGCCACTGTGCCTCCTTGGTCTGCTCCAGGCATCAAGTCCCTTTTCCTTTATTATCTGTCCCCTGATACTTAGGCCACCGAATGTTATTGGGCCCAAAAGAGCCCCCACACACTCGCCACCAGGGAGAACCATGTAGGAACAGGTGGGCCAAGAACCCTTCTTCCCCTGCCCTTCCAGGCAGTAGGAAACAGAAAAAGACTGGAGCCCAACAGTGGGCAGGGGAGGGAGCCAACAGGCTGGGAGCCTGAGAGGCCTCTGCGCCAGGACTAATCCCCTCTGGTGGGATCACATGCTCGCTCCGTCTCGCTCTCGCTCCTCCTCCTTCCCCCTCACTTTCCCTCCCTCACTCCCTCATGCTTCTTTGCCAGGCATCCTGGAAGCCACAGTTATTCAGCCTGCCCAGGCGTCTCACCTGTGGTCTGAAGAAGGGAACAGAAAGTCATAAGTCCAGGGTCAATTGCAAAGCCCTCAGCACAGAAGGGACGGGAAAAAATGAAAGTTACTGATAGCAGGCTCCCTGCTTCCCTTACCCCTATGTGTGGGTAGTGGGCTCTGCTCCCAGCATTTTCCAGAGGGGACAACTTGGACCAAATCCAGAGGAATGTGGGCATAACCGGTTAAGGGCCTTTTCGTGTTGGTACCCTGTCCACACCTCGGCCTGTGTCCCTTTGGCAAGGATCCAGGTACAGACACTCAGCTTTGAGCTTGTTTGCTTGTGCCTCCAGGAGAGTGAAGCAGACTGCAGAAAGGCAGTTGGGTGCAGCTGAGGTGGGCAGGACAGCAGCAGGGAGGGGTGCTTGTTCCTGTGGGTTAAACTAGAGACTCTGGGCACATTACTGCCAAGCTAACTGTTACCATTCTCCTCCCCAGACCATGAAATCCCTGGAGAATTTTTGGTGACATGCACTGAGCCAAGGTGATGGACTTTATATTTAAGGAAAGACATAAAAAGAAAAAACATTAAAATGGAATTGGAGGCCGAACGCCGTACAACTGCCCTCTCTCTCACCCAGTTAATGCAGAAAGCTCTTAGGACAGACAGGAAAACTGGCCACGGGACTGCTTCCCTTCCTCCCATGGCTGGCAGAGGCTCAGGCTCCACATCAGCTCTCTCCTAGGATACAGAAACCATGGCAACGAAAGTAGAATGTAAAACTTGCAGCAAATGTCTGTGGGTAGGGCTGGGGGAGGGGGCACCCAACTGCCTTTCTTCCCTCTCCCAGGAGCCTCTGGTCACCTCTCAGTGGAAGCCAGTCAGAGGTGTTGGCCAAGGATAGAGAGGAGGCAGAGAGAACTCTCCAGAGAATGTAATTTATAGATGCACATATATGTATATATATCTATTTATATGTAAATAGCATATATAAAGATATATATATATATAGTCTACTTTTTAAACTATGCAGGGATTTGGTTAAGTTGTTTAGCTGATTTCTATTTTAGAAAACGAGGACTGTTTGGGGAAGGCAACCTGGTCCTTCAAAGGCTAGATGTTAGTCACAGCCGATAGCATAAGGAAAGCTGGGTCGTAGCTTTTAAGATTCCCCTCAGCCCCAGCCTGTTTTTGATGGCAGCAGCAATCATGATAGTATAAATCTGTAGAAAACTTTTGACAGTTGCCAGGTTTTGAAGGTTTATGGTTAAGCGGAAGGAGAGCAGGCTGTGAGGGGAGAAAGTGCCCTTAGGGCCACCAGCCAGGTCAGTATTGAGTCATGGTAGAGGCCCCAGACTGTCTTCAGGGGTGAGACCACCCACCTCAAGCTTTGACCAGCTCAGATGGGCTCTTTGTCCTGGTGCCTAGGAGCCCTCTGATCCCTTGCCACAGAGAACAGCGGGGTTGTGAGGGGGACCAGGTTTTGCCTAGCCTCCTCCCCCCACTTAGCCCTAAGGGAGTTTTGCCTTATAGGTGCCACAGGGCACAGATTCATTGTTGCCACTGGTTTTTCCTGAGTCATACACCAAGGACTCCAGAAGGCTCTTCCTCCAAGAGTCAGCCAGGTGGTACCCAGGACCCCAGGGCAGCAGCCGACTTCAGAAGAAAGTCCATACCTGTGGGCACCTCTGTCTCCGCCCTCCGTGGACGTGACGCCGCTCGGCCTTCTCTTCCAGTTTGGACAAAGGATGCACCTGAACCAGAAAGGTTTTCTTATCCTCACCTTCAAATGAGGATTTTTCTCAAAACAGCAGTTGCTGCCAGGGAAAGGGAGGGAGATTTTATTTATTCCCACAGTTTCAACTGGGTCTTTTGGAATTACCATTTTTCCTGAATTTCCCTCTGGCAGTGGATGTTACTGAGCCTGCCATCTTCCAAAGCCTTACTTCCCCAAGCTACCAGCCAGGAGGTGATAACCATCCTCCCAGAGCTTCTCCTGGCTCTTTTTTTTAAAGTCCTCCAACAAATAAGATTCCT